CTAACAGTGTGGTTAAGGTAATTAAATAGAAATTCATGAACTAGGCATGATGTGGTAGTCTAGGGCTTTGACCACAGTAGTCTGAAGGCAAAGGCTGACTCAACTCTATGTGTCTGAAGCTAATTTGGTCCATAGAGCATCTTCTAGGAGAGCCAGACATGCAGAGTGAAAAGCCATTAAAAAAGAAAGAACAAGGAACATAAGAAGGAAATCATGACTATCTACCTGTTTGTGGGAGCCTACAGAGGTTTCCTAGTGAGATCCGTGCTTGCTTTACCTAGCAGGACTGCATAAGAGGATGACTGGACCATGGGCCTAGATGCCAGGTGTTTGGGAGGGTCTATACTTGGTTGTATCTAGCAAGGGGGAGGTCTTTTTCTCCTCTCCTTGGCATTGTTATAAAAAGCCCTTTTGAATAAAGTTCTGGGCCATTGGGCACTGACGCAGGTCCTCCTGAAGCTATCTTGTAATTCTGTCTTCCTTCTTCTCGGCTAGGCCTATCATTCTAAGTTCTGCATTCCTCTCTCCTCCTCATAGGAACCCTGTAAAAGGTGGGGGCTGGTCCCCCACACCACTTGAATTCCTCCTAAAATATTTCAGACTGCCAAAGCTTTAGAGAACAAACTAGTTTTTCAGAGCTGTTCCATCATCTTGGAACCCAATCTAAAGAGAAAGCTGGACTCAAACATGCAGAGATCTATCTCCCTCAGCCTCCTGAGGGCTGAGATTAAATGCTTGGCTTTTTTAATTCAATTTTTATTGATTCTTTGTGGGTTTCACGTCATACATCCAGAGTCATCCATCTCCCTGTCCCTTCATATCCACCCTCCACCCTTACAACTTCTCCCACAAAACAAAACAAATTTCAAAAGAGAAACAAAAAAATCAAAACAAAAGCAACCAAACTAACTACCACACAAAAATAATGTCCCAGGGTGGAATCTGTAGTGTGACATAGTGAGTCCCCCAGTGTACCCTTTAGTCCATCTTTACTTTACTTTACATCTTTACTTGTAAGTGTTCATTGCAATGAGTCAGTGTTCTGGTCTGAGGTCTCTGGCTTCTCCTATACTGCTACATGGGTCCTCACTGGGTCTCCTCTTGGATAACCTTCATTGTTGCCTTGTGTCATAGAGATCCTTTGTGTCACAGAGATCCTGTAGCTTTGGGTCTGTAGGTCTAGCCACTTCACATGCTCCAGCAGTTCATACATGAGGTGAATGTTGGATGGGCCACCTCATAGTCCTGGTTCTGGGCTTGGGTGGTAGCTGGGTTGGTCAGCCTCCCAGCTTTCCCTCATGGACACCAACAAGGTGAGTTCTCTAGCATTGCCGTTGCTAGCTCACCCACTGCAGCAGGCAGCAAGGAGTACAGTCACCTCTCCTGTCCTCTCACCCTCAGGCTGTCTCACCTGCACCACCACCCCACCAACAAGATCAGATCTACTTTGTCGTCCTTATGAGGTATCAGAACTGGTGTCCTGGTGGGGTGTCAGAACTAGTGGGACTGGGAAGCAAGAATGCCCAGGATCCATGATGTGAAATTTCCAAATAATCAGTAAAAATATTTTGAAAAAATCGGGGGAGAATTTGTGTGGAATCCATAGGAGATTTTAGCTGGGTGGTTGGGTGGGTGGGGAAGAAAGCTGCAGCTGGTGTTCTGTTGCAATTCTAGGGATGAGACTGGGCGATTGGATTTGGAGGGAAGGAGGAAGTTCTTCAGTTGGCTTACCTATTTCTTTGTCTTGTTCTGCTGGTGTATTCTTAGTGAATGCCTGCTGGTGTTGGAGGCTGGGATGATGGGTTGAGTTGGGGGAAGCAAGATTGGGGAAGAAGATCTTTGTGAACCAGTGGGGATAGGGTCTGACAGGAAAGAGACCACAGCAGATTTTCTACTACAGAGGAGAGGATGACACCAGGAAAATTGAAAGTAGAGGAGCAAAAGTAGAGGTGTGGATCTGCATTCAGTCTACTTGTTTCCCTGGAAAGAGTGGGTTAGCAAGGGTGCCTTGCTGAGTTGGGAGCTGGGACAAAGCAATGAGTCGGGGGTGGGGAGGTTAGAAGGGGAAGATGTATGGGATCTGCACACATGGGTGCAGAGAAGGTTTCAGAGTGCTCTGCTGCAGAGCTTGGGATGAGACTGGGGGATTGGATGTGAAAGAACAGATAGAGCAGAAAAGAGCTGAAGGCAGCCTACCTCGTTTTCTGGCACACATGGCCTAGAGTTGTGGTTTGTAACCTGTGTGTCCCAGTGCAATCCATGATCTTGGGCCAGAGTTACACCTCTCTGAGAATTTAGTATCTTGGTCAGAAGCTATACTGTAAGGAATACCATGAGAGTTGACAAGGCATTCTGTTTGTCCTTGTGTGGTAGTTTTGGTAAAATCATTACAGGCAGGAAATGCAAATATGTAACTAGAATAAGTATCTACTCCAGGAAGGACAAAGTGGTATCCATTCCACAGAGGAAGTAGCCCAATGTAGTCATCGTTTTATGACTTTGTTGGCTGGTCAGCCTGGAGAATGGTGACATATCTTGGGCTCTGTGTTGGTTGCTGTTTTTGGCAGATGTGGCATTCAGCAGCTGGTGTCCAGCAGCTATAACTAGGTCACTCTTGATGAGTGGATATCCATGTTGTGATTCCATGCATAACCCCTATCTCAGCTACCACAGGTACTTTGATCATGGGCCCATTGGGTAATAATGAGGATTCCTTGTTGCTGGAGGGCTTCTCTCCAGGTTCCACCAAAAGCCCCGCAGTCCCACAATCCTCATATAAAATAATCACTCTGACGCTTATATTACTTATAAACTGTATGGCCGTGGCAGGCTTCTTGCTAACTGTTCTTATATCTTAAATTAACCCATTTTTATAAATCTATACCTTGCCA